ATGTGGGGAAATGCTGAAGTCTGGTGATGTTGGGGGGAAAAAAATAATAAAACCTGAACAAACAAAAAAAAAGTTTAAAAGTTATTAGAAAACGGGGCAGAGGGCAGGAACCCTTGTGTTCATCTTTTTACCCTTCAGCTCTTGACTTACATGGATTTAAGTGTAAAACTGCCTTGCACAGCTTTTGTTAGTCTGGTTTTTACTCAGAATATTTTTGGTTTAGCCTGGTCCGTAGCTGCTTACAGATGTTTTGAGCACTTGGGAGGCCGGAGGAATTTATTACCTGGAAACTAAAAACAAATAATCTTTTTCTTCATGTGAAGGGTCCCTTGCATCCTCCGTTGCAGCCCCAGCCACAACCTCAGCCTCAGCAGCACCATCACCAGCAGCAGCAGCAACACCATCACCAGCAGCAGCAGCAGCAGCAGCAACATCATCATCATCTCCAAGGGCCACCACAGCCCTTGATGCCCATGAACCAGCCACAGTTCAGGCCTCACATACAGACCACACAGCAGCAGCCAAATAACAACAGGATGCAGTGTCAGCCGCGACAGGGTCCGATGAAGCCGAGGCATGTAAGTAGCACATACGTCAGTGTTGCTTTGTGTGGTTTTGCATGAGTCGCAGGGATGTAAGCACAAGTTTCAAAACCGGTATGGCTTTTCAGTCTCATTTATTCCCTTCCTCCTTTGTTCCCTTCTTTCACCATATTTTGCTCCTTTTCTGCCTTGATCATACATGTGCTGTTTTTGGATGTATGTATCTTTCCCTTTTTCTCCTCCAGTCTTCAGTGTTTTTCTTGATCTGGGTCCAATAAGAGATGTTGCAGTTGCCCAAGAACAGGCGGTAGAGGGTTTTTGGAGGATAGGTTTGCTTAATAAGATTTTAAAATTGCTGATAACGTGTGATTGTGTGGGAGCCCAGTTCTCTGACACTGTCTTTCAATTTGAAGGCCTCTCTGTACCACTGCTAATAAGCTTTTTGGTACAGGTAGTGTCACTCATGTCTTGCGAGTTTGCTCCTGTGCAGTGTATTCTGTTGCTTGGTAGGTTGGGGTAGCACAGCAGTCTGTAGCAGTGTTCAGGACAACGTGTCTGTAGTTCAGAATAATCGCTTTGATTGGGAAAGTAAATCACACAGTGAAGCTGATTTCTGAGAAAGATGTTAAACAAGTGAGATTCAATTTTGTTTTTAATTAAATGTTAAATGTTCTAATTTCTGTTATTTTTCTTCTCACATTGAAAATGTTGTGCCTCTTTGAAAAGCTTTTTTTTCCCCAAACTCAACTAGAGCCTGAAAATGTGAAACGAGAAACACTTCGGTCTGGTTTGTAGTGGAAGTCTGCATTTTTTTTCTTTTCTGCTTTTCAGAGTACACCATCACAAAATATTGTCAAGCGTACAAATCAGCAGCTACAGTCAACTGCTCCAAGAAATAGTAACTTGCGGGAGTTGCCGATAGCACCATCACATGCTATGGAAATGAGCAACAACAGGCGAACCTCTACCCCAGCCGCTCAGGTCAAACCCATTACCAGCACGATGTCTGCCACCAAGTCTGTAGCTGGTGTTGGAAACTCACAGGGAAGACCTGAGATGAAAGCTAGAACAGTTACACCAGTGGGCCAAGCAAAATCAGAAGTAAAATCTGAACCAGAGGTAAGGGTTTGTTTTTTTTTTTTTTTAAAAAGCAAACAAGCAAAACCAACAAAAAACTCCTCCAAAGCCCCACCAAAAAAACTGCCAACAAGAAGAAACAAAATCTCCCACCTTTTAAAAACTTTTCCAGTCTGACTTGCGAACTGCAAGCACACTTAATGTATTATTCACCCAATATTTTTTGGTGCCACTAGAGGCCTCCCTTCTGAGTTGCATGTTTCTCTTTAATGTGATAGCAAAACCAGTCTGCATTGACAAAAAAAAAAAAGTCTGGAAGGTTGGTACGGCTGTGGTGAATCTCTTTTGCAGGAGGAGTTGTCATTTCTACTGTGAAAAGGCAGAGGTTGAGTAAAGGTCATGCATGATACAAGCTTCTGAAATACCCATTGTACCCATTTTTATCTTCCAGGGTTATGATCCTTTTTTTCCAGGTTCTTCCGAGTCAGAAAGACTATTCTCTTTCATTTACTATGATGCTGTATGACTCCAAAGAAAATTAAAAAAAACCAAAAAAACAAAAAACCAAAACAAAACAGAAAAAGGAAGGCTATTTGGAGAGCTGTCTTCCTCATGCTGTTTTCCTTTAGGCTGTTCAGGCTCCTGTAGGGTTTTTGAGCAGTCATACAGGGAGTTGCAGCTGTGTTGTCCATGGAGCTGCTTGCTCTTGAAGAGGAAAATCTCTCTTTTGTGAAACCTGTTGGCGTGAGGGAAAATAGGGTATACTCTTTAAGTTTTCAGTTTTGGAGAAAATTATGTGGTTTTCTCTGCTAGTACTTTGCACAATCAAAAAATGAGATGCCAGTGTTTTGGGCTCCACTGGATCATGCCGTGTGAAGAGATGACTGTTTCTCCGCACAGATTCTGCTGGAAGCTAGAGGAGACTCTCCATGAGCACTGTTAATCTGAGAGTGGGTAGGATTGCACTCATGCTGCTGTTAATCCTGAACATCAAGAAGTACCAGAGGAACATGATGGCTGAATGCGCCCTGTATAATTTCTGAGTGCCAGGTTATTCTGAGCAGAATTCTAAATCTTTATGGTTTAGTTAACCATGAATCTTGTCTCAGGGACCAGGTTTTCTTCAACAACTGTCGAGAGCTTTAATTGTGCCCTTTAAGCTGCTCATGATTAGTTTTTCATCTTGTTCTTGAATTAGGGATGGTCATAACTAATTTTCACAAATGAGGCACAAAAGAAACCCATAGCTTGCAGTGTTTAACCTCCTGTGCACTTGGTTTTCAATGGAAATTAAAAAAAATGGTTATTTCAGCCTTTCAGCTTTTAATTTTGATTTTTTTGAAAAAAATATTTAAGTAATCCCCTTCCCCTCAATTCAGTCTCTTGGGATAATCTAAGTCTCAGAAAATGCAATGTAAGTCAAGAAGGGTCTGTCTTTCAGGCCATTATTAAGGTAAGTTTTGAAGCAAATCAGCTACAGGTCTCCCCGTCTAAAAGATCTTAAAGTTCTTCTATAGTGTAGTCATATGAAAATTATTCTGAAATATCTGTCAGTGTTTAGAAAAATGAATTAATATTTTTTCACTCCTCTTAATCAAATGAACAAAAAAAAAAAACCTGACAAAAGCAAGCAAGCAAAACAAAAAAACAGCCAAACAAAAAAAAAACACCTCAAAGCAGTCATCTTGTTCACTTCATTTTAAGTGTTTAACATATCTTCACAAACATAGCTATAAGACTAGCTAATCTTACTTGTGTGACTTCTTGATGTTTTACAAATAAAGCCTTATTTTTATTTCTATGTCAAAACTAACTTTGAGAAAAGTTTGATACCTGTTTTATGTAAGTTTTTGCAAAACAGGCTTAAAAAAAATGCCTTGGAAAAAAACAGGTCTCCTAATTTTTTCTATTATTAATCATAAAAGTAAAGCCTTTGTAGATACACTGGGCAAGTACTAGAAAAGCATGTGAATGTGTGTGTGCACAGAACCCTTCTCCTTTCAAAGCTGACTTGAAATAGAGCCTTGTGCTGCAGCGTACTAGCAGTTCTCCCTTTTCAGCTGCCTGCAGTAGTCTTGTTCACTGGTGCAGCTTATTGTCACTGCTACAGACACGTTTGCTGCACTGGTAATGTTCGTTTCCAAGCATTTAATCATATTGTTCACTGCTGTAGGTTATTACATTCCTCTCCTTAGGCAGACTATAATGTTTCCCAGTCTTTTTTGTGTGTTTTTCTTGTAATTAGCTAACTTCATCCTGTTCTTTCGCTTTCTGTGGAGGCGAGAAAGAGTTAAGTTCTGTCATCTTTTCTAGCTGTATTGCTCATAACTGACTTGGGCAGGTTATTTTGCAAGTGTCTTCAACTGGAAAATTATGAAGACTTTTCTTTGCATCCTTCTTCCTGAAGAATCAGTGGCCATATTTATGAATGCCCTATCACTCAGGAAGCACCCAAAAAATGGCAATATTGGCTATTAAAGGTTTTGCTCACCTTCAAAATAGATATTTGAAAGGTTTGCAACCTGAGTGACTAGGAGATTAAAAACTATATTTCTGCTTTACTAATGCTATGCTTGTGTTCCCATTCCTGTGAGTGTGCAGAATACTTACTTTAAATGCCTTTGTCTGTTTAGAATAGCTGTTATTCTCCAAGATCTAAATTTGCATATCCTCATTCTGAAAAATCATTTTGTCAATGAAGTTGGAAAGTATGGATGATGACTGTGGGCCTAATTCTGCTCATGTTGAGGTCAGTTTAGGATAAGAGGAGTTAAGGCAATATGAATCATTTTTGAGTTTAAAGAAGGGGAGAATATAGAAAGGTGATGTCAGTCTCTTTAGAAGAGATGGATATTGGAGCTCAGAACTGTAGAGAGATTAGCAGAGCACTGCATAATCGTAGGTGTACTGATATTACTACTTATATTGCAATTAATGTCTCTGACATACTGAAAGAAAACCTTCACATTCCATTCTCCCAAATCCAGTAAATTTTGAAGTTGGGTTGCTGGATTTTATGTTGCTTGCAATATGGAAAATAGTTGCTGCATTAAGTTGTTAGACCAAATGTATCAAAATCTTTTGATCTTTTTGGAATTACCGACCGAAAAATTGTAGATGTCTAAATTTGTGTTTTCTACAGTTTAAGGTAGGCTTGATTTCTAAATTTTGATAGCGGTGCTTCCTGTCTTGTGTCTAGAACCTGCTTCTTATCACAGTCTTTTTCCATGTGGAAGATCACAAGAGGGCAGTGTGCTTCTCAGAGGACCTTGTAACCTTGTTCTTAATTATCTCCCCGCTTGTCCAAGATGTACAGCACCTGTTTTGTGGGGTGCCTCATACCTTTGTAGGGTTCAGGAGCTGATGTTGTCAGCAATGTGACGTGTGATGGGAGTATGTAGGTGCCTTTATTTAAGGTATTTTGTGCTTTTGAACACAAGCAGCCAAATGATGTGGTTTAGGTCTGGCCTTGCCTTTTACAAAGACTTATCATGAATTTTTGGAGAAATTATTCTAGCCGCTTCTGTTTGTAATGTTACAACTGAAACAAAGATAAACCTTCTGAATAGATAAGTGTTTTATGCCACAGATCAAACCATTTTGCTTGGTCTGTCCTTGGCTCATTTTACTGAGGGACATAAATGAGCCTGTTTGCGTGATTCATTTTTTGTTCTTTGATAGCAAACCAGAACACTTAGAGTATGTGGTTCTTATGACTCTGCATTTAGTTCTAACTCGTCATAAAGCCTGCAGACCTCTGAAAAGGTGAGGTTGTGGTTTATTTTTTAAATTCACTGTATGAAAAGCAAGCTACTGATACTAGGACTTAAATTACAGTAAAAAGTTTAATCCCTTGTTTTAGAGCATGTCTTTGCTATCTTTTCCTCAGTCAACAGTGCCATTCTAAGTTATCCTGGAGAATAATGTAAGACTGCTGCTTCTTTTACTGCTGCTCTTCAGCTAGACTTAGAAAAGCAGCCTGTAATGTTTTCTTTTGGCACTTTCCATCAAAGCTGCTTTGGACCTTGAGGCGGAATTAAAACCTATACCTAAGGCTTGGTCTTCCCTTCAAAGTACAGTGAAATAAATTGTGTTCAAGAACTGTTCAAAGATGAATGAGAATCTCCACTTAAAAAAAAAAAAAATCAAAACAAAACTCCAACAGAAAAAACCCCACCTCACAAAACCAAGGGAACTGATTTGCATCTCTGGCCTTTTGTGCTCTGTAGCCTCCTGTAAAAGGAGGAACTGCATACAGCGTACCATTTCTTCATGTGTTGGGGCTTTCTACAGAAAAAGTGCGAAGCATCAATAGTTTATTGAAGAAAAAGACTGCTCTAAAGTTTTCTGCTGCTTCGCCTACAGATAATGTTGCTTTTGGCAGCAAACTTGTAAACACAAGCTGTGAACTTTATGACAACTTTATGAAGGATGTCAGGATGTTGTTGCTTTTTCGGGCAATATGCTTGGGTTTTTTAGGTTTTTTTTTTGGGGGGGGGGGGTTGGGGGGGATTCTTCTTCGGTGATGATGATGAAAATCATTAGCAATAGGCATTGTGTACTGCTTCCATCTTGACCCGATATACTGTCTTGCCTGTTCTGTAAGGTGAAGCTCGTTATTGCGTACTGTAGGTCATTTATATATACTACAGGTCGTACATATATATTTATATACACCCACGCTCTATGGTATATACGAGGTGCCCTTAAACCTGAGCAGCAGAGGATTTGACTGCCCCTGTTTTCATCCTAGTAAGGAGTTTTGCTGCCATTCTGAATCTGCTGCCTCCAGTGGTAAATTTGGTATCAGCTCACTGGCACCCATCTAACTTGTTTAGATAAAATTTAGAATATTCTGATGTAAAGCAAAGCAAATGAATAAACTAATTCATTAAGTTAAATTAAACACGTTTTCTGTTTGGATAATTTCAATAAGTGTGAGATGTTTACTGTCTCTGAAAATGACTGAAAATTTTATTCTTTGCATCAGGATCTGCAGAACAGCACATCCTCCTCCAATCTGGACCTTATCTGGATTTTCTCATCCTGTGCAAACTGTATCTATGGGTCTTATCCTTTCACTGTATTTCATAAGGGTTGTATGCTTTTTTTACTAAAATCCAGCATCTCCAGTTTTCAGTACAAAATTAAATATTTGAGTTTCTTCCTGTAGAAGTACATTCCTGTTACTGTCTGTCAACAAAGACCTGTAATCTAGTTGTTACAGTGGTCAGTCATTAATCACCGCCATCGTAGACTGAAAAGTATGGGGGAAGATCAGAACCTTTTGGTATATAAAGCATTCTCGTAAAAAGGACCAGTGTTAGACCTCATCCCTGAACTATAGCCCGTATTTAAAAAATAAATAAAAATCCAGTTTTGTTGAGGTCTTATTTTAGCCATTGTTCAGGCTGGAATTCTAGGATGCAGCTATTTTTTAGTAACTGTTGGAATAATCACTGTCTATAGACACTCCGGGAAGCAGCAGTTATGACTGGAGGAAACAAGTGTTCAGGATTTGTGCATCTGGATTTTATGAGTACAAATATGACTCTACTGGATTTTTATATCTGTGAACCAACTTTATGGTTGAATCTGTTAGGTTTTTTTTTTTTCTTGGGTTGAGGAGGATTGTGGGGCATACCAGGAATAAAAGCACTTGAATTTAAAAAAAAAAAAAAAGTTTCACATTTGGATCATATATGTGCAAAAAATGGCATTTGTGTTGACAAAGAGTTTGCACCCAATTGCTGCAAGGTAAATCACTATTCCTCACGGATTCCTTATTTTTGATAAACATTTTAGCATTCTTTATGCTGTAATTTACCAACATGCAAAGTATTGTTACTTTGAGAGCCTGTTTTTTTTAGGGGCTATTAATATATTTTGAGTAGAATGTTGTGCTCATTACCATTTGTAAGCAGTCTCTGAGTCTCTAACTTCATATTTCAAATGGATGAAAAGAAAAAAAATGAAAAAGTGTGCTTTCTAATTTTGAAAAATATATGTGATTGTATCACAAGAGCAATTTGATTTCTTTTCCAGGATGATGAGAATCTGCATTTCCTTGACTTATCCATTTTTATACAGCTTTTCATAAGAACCCATTCTGCCATAGTTGAAGAATCTTTAGAAAGGTTATTTGATGGTGTGTAATACTTTCAGAAGGGCCCAGGGCTGGAATATTAAAGGCATTCCCTATATACCATTAATATTCTAACGCTGCATTTGGCAACATTTTGATTCTGAAGAGAGTGCACGAGTTCAAGGTCAGAGAGATTGACTTGTGCTGTTCATTATAACCAATTATTGTGTGACAAATGAGTTTGAGATCAGGCTGAAAATTCTGTGAGAAAAATCAATAGTTCTAATCAGGGCCTTTCAGGTCATTTACCACCCTACCTTTTGTTACTTTGTCAGAAAAGAGCAAGATAAAACCTATGTGTCAGTGGGTTGCCTCCGTATTGTTACTTTCCATTTGAAACATATTTTGATATCTTGAATTATATTAATAGTTTAATTGGTTTTAGAAACTTCTAAATGAGTTCCAATTTGTAAAACTTCTTTTTTTTTTTTTCTTTTTTTTTTTTTAGTATTCTGATAAGATTTCTTGGCCAGTATTAAAGCTTTTTTTTTTTTCCTTTCTCTCTAGGAAGTAGTATATCTAAGTCCTAAACCAGATTTGAGCTGTTTGTAATGAATAGCAAATAAACCTTACTAGCAGATACACTTCACTAATAGCCTTAGTTTGGTATCAGGGATAACATAAAAAGCTCTTCAAAGTTACAGCTTGACAACATCTGAAACAACAATTTAATATTGTTTTGACCGAGCTGGGCATTTGTTGAGAATTTTATAAATTCATTTGTATTTTCCTTTGTAGTATCCCGATGAAGATGAAGAAACTAGATTGTATCGTTTGAAGATAGAAGAGCAGAAGCGTCTAAGAGAAGAAATTCTGAAACAAAAGGAGCTGAGACGGCAGCAGCAGGCTGGTGCTAGAAAGAGAGAATTGCTCGAAAGAATTGCACAGCAGCAGCAGCAGCAGCAACCTTCTACGCAGCAGTCCTACATGCAGCAGGAGGATGACTCCTCTGAGTACCCCACCAACGGCAGCCCTTACATACCCCACTCTGGCTTACAGACCAGGCAAAATGTGAAAAACAGACTCCTTGTGAAAAAGCAAGATTCAGTAATTCCAGATATCCAGCCCAAGCCCACAGATTTCCCCCAGGTGGGGTCGAATATGCAGTATCAAGGGCAGCAGATGAAGCCAGTGAAGCACCTGAGGCAGACGAGAACAGTACCTCCCAGTCAGCCTCAGGCGCCGCAGAAAGTTTTACAGACAAAACCGGCTGCAGCGTCGCCGCCCACGACACAGACTGCTCGAGTGGCTTCAGTACAAGCAAGGCCCCAGGAACTGAAACCTGGCGTGAAAAGGACTGTCGTGCAGCGGACAAACAGTGGTAGTGCAGATGGGCCCCATGTCGGCAGCAAAGTCAGGGTGATTAAGTTGTCAGGAGGGGTAAGTTTCCAAGGCTCGTCTGGTGTGTGTGTGTTGTCATTGTTTGTGTGTTTCATTCTGTGTAATCCCAAAATAAAAAATGGGTCTAAGCTGATGGGGGAAATAGCAGTTTTAGCAGACCTTATAGTCCGTATTTTATATTTTCAGAACTGTAAGTTATTAGCAATTATTCAGAAATTATTGTTTCCTGTAATTCTTTACTGCCAGGCAGTTATCACTGAAATCACACCAAAATAATACTCTTTTAAAGTTGTAGCTTGAGTCTGAAAGACTCCTCAACTGAGCTCCTTTTGCTTAAGGTTGATAGGTCTGATAATTGGTCAGAGAAAAGGATTTGTATCGCTGTTTTTAAGGCACAGTTGAAAAGCTAGGCTCTGCTTATTTAGTAGTTGAAGCCACCTGATTTAGTTGTGTGCAGGTGCTGGCGTTGGTGTGGTTTCTGTACTCAAGGGAAGATTGTTTTTATTTTCTTGGGAAGTGTGTTGTGAAACTAATTTCGGTGGTATATTGGAGGGGGATGTTTTCTTTTACAGGCTGGGTTTAAAATGTTAGCATTTCACTTCTGCATCTAAATGAGATTTCCTTATCTTTTGATGAGGGGTCTATTATCTGCAGAGTGTCCCTTGAGCACGGTGTTGTGGAGGACTCACAATGCTGGTCTTGATGGTAGTGTGCATATTTAAGATCTGGGACTTTGGTTAGGAACTCTCTCGAACAAATTTCTTCTGTCTTGATGAAAAGACAAGTTAATTTGTTAGGGCTCTGAAGAAACTGAGATGAGGGGACATAGCAAGATTGTGTTGTCAGTGTGAAAACTGCCCTCAGGTTTATGCCAAGGAAGAAAGAAGGATGTGATGTGGTTTAATGCTGTGGTACATTGGAGGTGGCTTTTTTGGAAGAATGCTTCTTAAATTATTCAGAGCATTAAGGAAACTTGCAGAACTGCTGTAAGTCTGTAATGAAGTGAACAGCGTGTTGACAGGGACTAAACAAGGCCTTGGAGGCTAGGTTTTACTCTGTAGAAATGGGGAGGACATTGAAATGCCGAAGTCTTAACTGCTTTTTATAAATGTTTTTCTACAGCTCATAAAACTTAAATACACTTAAAATTGTGAACCACGTAATGACCATGTGGTTTTTCAAAATATTAACATAAAGGGCCTTATTGACTACATGGAGCTGACAACAACCTGGCTTGGAGGTTGTCTAATTCCTCAGACATGATAACTTAAGTACAGAAGAGTAAAGTACAAGAAGTTAAAAGAAATTGATTCTATTGGGCTAAAAGTATTTATATATAAATATGTCTGCAGGAATCCCAGTGGCCTGCAAGAGGTATGACAGATTTGCTATTCATGAATAATTGAATAAAACAATCATGCACAACTTTTATTGTGTGGTGAAACAAAACAATGCCAGTCACCACTGTATTGTAACAAATGGTTATCAGTTCCCACTGTAGCATTCACAAGGAAATAGTTTTTATCATAATGCTCTAGTTCAGAAAACCATAAATGATTTGTTTTGGATAAGTCTGATGCTAAGAAAGAGCAATTAGCTTCATTAAATGTGCGTGTAACCCTTCTTTCATTGTGTACAGAAGCAGATTTGCTCAGTTCTTAGCTTTTGGATATCGAGGTTTTAGCAAGGTAAAGCAGGTTCTTTACATCTAGTCTTTGTTACTTTTTTTATGTTGCCATGGAAGTTTTCCTTCCATCTCTGGAAGAGTAAAAGCAAGCATTGCAATTAGCTGTTTAACACTGATCAAGATAGTTGATTGATTTTTTATCAGTTGGTGACAAGCTGAATCTATGACTGTTTCTTTGAGCACACAAGAAAAAAGACAAAAATTGAGCAGCAGGGGCGCCAATCTTGTCTATTTTGACAGGATTTTAAAGAAGAATTGAAAGCTGGTTGGACTCTGAATGCTATAAAGATCACAGATCACATTTATTTTCTACTTCTAGTGTTTAGTCGTTCCATGTGTTTTATTTATTTTCACAACTTTTGCTTCAACCCTAAATGTAAAGCAAAAGACAAATGTTCCTCTAATTCCCTGCCTTTGGCCGAAGGGGTGGCTGGGGTCTCTTATTTATGTACACTGACTCAATCCTGCGGTTAAGCAGCCCTGCCATTTCTCTCAATCTGTGCAGAGATGTTTGAATACCCGTGTACTAGTGAGATGGCTTGTGATTAGACACAATTCAGGGACCTTTTCAAAGCTCTCTTGATTCATGTTGGTAAAGACTTGGAAAGTCCCTTCTCTTTCAGCCTGCCTGCCATGGTACAGGGTGAGCAGAGCTGTCAGTTGGAGAAGCTGATTGAGGCCAGACGCATACTAACTCTTTCTAGAGCAAATTGACCTAAAACAGGAGCAGGTAGCAAGGACTGTTCTGGTTTTACTAGGACCATCCATAGAACCAGGATTAAATGGTGGTATGTTGCTGGTGATGTTTTTGTGTAACAGGTAAGGAGATATACTTGGTGTATTGGAGAGATTTATGGTGTACGAATACTGTCAGGAGAGAATGGTTTCTTCTGAGGGCAATGTCTTTCCCAGTCTAAGCTTCTAACTGTTTATTTGTGTTGCTGGGCACTGCAGTACTACTGAGGATCTCTAACTTCCAGGTAGAAGTATCCCATGTTACTTAAAAAGGTAAAATGGCCTTTCATCTGTTCCCACAATATTCTTTCTTGAGAGGATTTTGCCTTTTAAGTATTTCTATGGAATTGTAAGAATTACTAATTATATTATTATATTATATACTAATAAATGACAAGAATTTTTTTTAATTTTTCCAGTCTACCTGATGCCTTAACTTATGGCTTCTTATACTTAAGGAAAAGGGAAGTAGAAAATAATTCAGCATTTCCTGTGTGTCAGACTAAGTCTGCATACCAAGGTGACATATCTTAGGTACTGCCAATAGTGATTTTGTCTGTTGATGCTTTTTTGAAACAAATCCTCCCCCTAACTCCCACCCCAGTATTTATATGCCCATCCCTTTCTCATACTCCTGTAATTCATGCAGGTATGGCAGTATAGAATACTTTTACATGTTTAATAGAATAGTTTTACATGTTAATTACTCCTTTAAATGTTATGTTCTTGGGAAAGGAGGCAGTGCTTAGTGTTTAGCAAATTAACTTTTTTTTTTTTGAGGTTTTTTTAATGAAGGCCCAGATATCTTTTGATGGATCCAGTGTGCTTTATGGTCTGTGCGCCATGTCTTCAGAGCCATATAGGAATTCAGTGTATTTGCTGAGTACTCATACTAGTATACTTTACTAAGAAAACAACTGAGATCTGCCTGCCTTGATGAGGAGCCTGAAGTCAATCCTAAAACACTCTTAAGAATAAACTCAGGGAGACTGTAGAGTGTTTGTTGGGAAGAAAGACTGTAATAATAATAACTTAAAAATGTGAGCATAAAATTATAAAAAATAGGAGTGAAAGGACCAAAGAAATAATATATTCTGTCTTGAAGGGGGAATGAACTCTAACATTCCTGACAGATTTGCCCAACCTTTTTCTGACATCCCATTATTGGAGATTTCTTTGGCCATCTATTCCAGTGTCTAACGTACATTTCGGAGAATTTTCTTAGTGACCAAACCACATTTTCTTGCTGTGATTTTGAATCTATGACCATTTGTATTACACTTCAAGAGACATGGAAAAGAATTTATATCCTTCTTTGTGGCTGCCTCTCTTTTTAAAGATCTCTTAACTGTTTCTGAGCACTGATATCCTTCACTCCCTCATGATAGTGCATGTTTTCTGACACCTTGGCTGTTTGTGGTGGTCTTCTTTGGGCTCTCTGTGATCAGTCTGTCATTAAACAGTACCAGTACCAAGTGCAATTGAATTCCTTAAGTAAATATATTAGAAGTGTCTTTAGTCCTGGAAGAACAGGTTTGTACCAGCTACAACCTTAAATCTCTTAAGATCATGTGAAATATGTGCTGAACGTGTTTTTCATTTAGTTGGAGGTTCTATGGGAAATCTTAAAACCTCTGTATCATTCAGTCATCTCTTGTTGTTGGTTGATTTCTCTTTAACCAGAAAATGGCCTGCCATGCTCAAAGAGATGTGTGTCTGTCCCAAAGGCCTGAAAATGCTGGTTCTTATGCTGCACCAAGAACACACCAATCTTTGTCTCTGTGGAAGGCTGCACAATGAGCTTTTTTCGTAAATGCACATATATAAACATACATAAAAATCTGTGTTCCCTGTTGGATTAGAAGCAGTATCTTATTAGCGATCGTGATTCCTGAAAACCTGAGTTGCTGCTTCATCTGAAAAGCTTGAAGAAAGATTTGGCAAGTTCTTTTGTTTGAAAAGCCTGTCACAAAAAAATGCCCGTGGGTTATACAAACAACAAAAGAATTGGAATGGAAGATAGACAACTTTATTCATATTAAGAGTAACTGAGAAGTATAAGAGATTATTATGGACTTCTAAATGTGGAATATTGAGATGATTGTTGTTTGATAATGTAACCTTATCAACCAGCTTTGCTTAATGTTTGTACTTGTTTCTACTTGCCTGTGTATGTTGAAGTTTAATTAAAAATATTTGACTTGAAAGCTCTATAGCGCCTTTCATCTAAATATGTCAGGAATTACAAACCCTGAGATTTTTGGCATTCGCATGACAAGTTCTTGAGGGAGCCCTTCACCCAGCTCTGCAGCGCTACCAGCTGCGAGAAACGACACAGGAACTCTTGTTGCATACCATGCTGTTACTTTTTCAGAAGCAGAAGAATGGCATTGTGGTTTATTTGTATCCCCCTATTTGAAGGAGATATGGATAATGTCTGTATTCTATCAGCGGCGGACTGAAGGAGCTGCAGAAACCATGATACCTGAATGCCCAGATACCATGTTTGTCGTTTAGGGGGTGTCAAATGGGCAAGACCTTTGAAGCAGTTACTAATGTTAATGCTGTTGAAAAGGGACTCTGCCTGCCACAGCCTGCAGGATTTCACTCTGGAATT